GATTAGTTAAATTGATTTAATTAATTAGTTAATGAGGGCCCCACTGAAAACTGCTATGGCAAGTTGGGCTCCCTCGTTAAATATTATTATTATTATATTATTAAATCATGTGGTAGTGATCATCTCGAAAGCATTTGCTACTATGGTCACTACGCACTTCTCCTTTTCCTACAAAATGTAAAACTCTGCTCTTTCTATTTTCTCCTTTTATTTTATCTCACTTGTAGTTAATGATATAACAAGTGCAAAATAGAGATGATGATGATGATGACGATGATGATGATGATGATGATGATGGTTGTAGGGGGTTAGCAGGAGACTATAAGCCAGGTGGCTCCCTTCTTCTTCACTTGTGTTATGTGTGAATTTACAAAGCAGGAGTTTCATTAATGTTTTCAGCAGGAGGGCAACTGGTTTACACAGCAGGCAAAACTTTTTGAACTGAACCTCTCAACATTCCAAATTCCAATTCGATCTGGAACAGTGCACAAGAATAGCCACCCAGTGGATGTCCATTGTTAAATCATTATCATTATCATCATTATCATTATCATTATCATTATCATTATCATTATCATAAGACAAACTCTCCTCCAGATCATCAAACCAGGCAGGCAAAACCATCCTCACAACCTGTCAATTTGCCTGGTGCCCAGGCCCTTAATGAAACCCCTGACAAAGAATTTTTAACAGAAATGACAAAGAATTTTTTAACAGAAATGCCAGCAACTCAAGGGGCTCTTCACTGTTTAAATTCTTCTTGTCTATATTAAAGGAAATAAATGAAGCATGGAGAACATGCATACTGCGTAAATCTTTCCAGAAGTTCTGCAGTTGGGATTCTTGTGTGATACCAGGTCTGATTGCCACCATCACTTTAATGCCAGCAAGACTTCAGATGTGATGATTGACAAAATGGCCTAAACACCTTGGATGAGTCACTTCGCAGGAATAAAACATTCCTAGGCTGGCTGACAAAGTATGCCCTGTAAATCGATCTAATCTATCAAATTTAAGTTTAAACCTTCAGACCCAACCAGAATAACAAGCGCATTGCTAATTAATTGTAAGACAACCATCTAAACTTATCCTGTTTCACTAAATCTTCTTTTGAATTTCTTTATTTTAAGGTATTTTCACTCAATAGGAACATCCTAGTCCTAAGGAGGGAAAAAAGAGAAACATACCAGTAATGATGTGTTATGAATAATAGGGCGAGCTTCTAAAGAAACTGTGGTGCTGCGTCAGTTAAGGAGGGTTAAAGAAACTGTGGTGCTGCGTCAGTTAAGGAGGGTATTAAAAGATTATCTAGTTATATCAAATGAGTTGGCCTACGAAGGATCCTCCGAATCCGATGGCAAGACCATGTCAGCACCAAAGAGTGACTGGAAAGGGTAGGCATGAGGCCACTGAGTGCGGAAGTGATGTCTCGTAGATGGTAAATGATTGGTCATATTCTTGGGAAAGATCATAATAATGATTGCAATGTTGCTATGAACTGGGCACAAAAAGGTAAAAGGAGAAGGGGAAGACCAAAAACCACTTAGAGACGTACAGTAGAGAAAGAAAGGCAAGAGGCAGGTTGGAGGTCATGGGAGGAGGTGCGGACAGCAGCAACCAATCGAGAGGAGTGGAAAAGCTCTGTGAAGGCCCTATGTTTCACGAGGCATGAAAAGGATCGATGATGACAATCAAATGAGTTGATGATATGAATTGGCAGTCCGGCTAAAGTCCCCCGAAAAGTATTGTGATGCACATTTGATTATATCCACATGTTAATTTGTGCAATATAAATATTAAATTATTGTCGCAGAGAAATCAACTGAATTCTACATTCTAATCAGGCAGCACAGGACGAAAATCGTAACCTGTGACCCATGGAGTAAAAAATGAATGTACATTAACTAATCCTAAAAAGCTTTTCCGTTGTGTCTACGGTCCTCCTTCTAACAGGAATTATTATTATTATTATTATTATTATTAATTGGCCACCATATGGAGATTTTAAAGCTGATACTGTGAACATTAGCCCTTTGTCAGGGTCAAGAAATGGAGGGCTAATGCTCGAAATGTCACTTTCAGAATCCCTTTACAGTGGCCAATTCAAATTATTACCTCAGCTGACAAAACCAGATTATCTTATATGTTCGGAATATTTACAAGTCAAGGGTGAGGGGATTAACAGCCAGGTAGGGTCCTGAGGTGTCCATACCCTCCTCCCCCCCTGTGCAATAATTTCTCTTAAGTCAATAGCATGCAAATCTCAAAATTTGGGTTTATGAAAAACTTGGGAATTTCAACAATCTAAAGAAGAATATGATAACCTTTTCCAGAGCTTTATAATTCTTTTGCCAGTTATCACTGCTCAAATTCAAGTCTGAAAACAAAACACAATGACCTGGCCAGGTTTCGTTTAGACCTGGAGTCCATCGTGTAAACTATTAAGCCCCTGTATCTCCCACTAGGATAACGGTAAGTTTCCAGCAAAAGAACCTAACTCCCATAGCTTTCAGAACTCATCCCCATTTTGTGTACCATGATATATCCCTACTCCTCTCAGTTGGGTTGCTAGTCAAGGTCAGTCTACTACCCCCCCCAAGTATCTGAAAGGTTTCTTCGTGAGATCACATGTACAAGCTCTACTTCCCATATATCCCTAGGGACCATTCATTTTTTATGAGGTGGGGGGGGCTGGTGGGATTTTTTTAACTTTCATTAAAAAGTTGCATGACCCCCTCAGTCGTTTAATTTTTTTCCTTGACCCCCCCTCAATACAGGTAAATTTTTTTCAGTGTAAAATATATCCCATCTTATAGCATTACTAAAAGATTTTACATGACCCCCCCTTTCTGCCTTATTTTTTTTAGCTGGCTCCCCTTTAAGGCCGTTTTTTTTTTTTGGGTGACCCCACCCCCAAATCCCACCAGTCCCTCCTCCCTTGTAAAAAATGAACGGTCCCCTAGATGGACAGAGTCACTGAGAGTTTGGTTTCCCACAGTTTCTCTCAAGTGGGTGGGGGAGGGGGAGTCTACAGGGGTTTGTAGCCTCTTCTCCCTAGCCTGCAGCGTAGGCATCTTATTAAGGCAAGTTAATGTTATAGGTTTGTGATCATTTATCCAAGTGCCATGTTTGATTTGGAGTCAGTGCTGGGGCAAGGGGCGGGTCAGGGGCATCACTCACCTCCTTAGTTCAAATTTCTCTCTCTCTTTCCCCAGCCTTCCCCAGCCTTCCCCTGCCCTTAAAATCAA